GGAACCAAGGTTCCGGAGAATTTGACGTAAATACGTCTACACGGAAAGGAATTTTATATATTGGCTTTATTCTAAATATTTCCTTTATACATGCTTTACAATTGAGTAAAGTTTGATTAAGACATTGCTTAATCAACTTGAATTAGTTACGCTTAAGATGGGTCTGTGGTAGCTGAATGTAATGTAAAGTAATGTATTGTAACGTTCCCTAGGTACACTTGTTACACTTCTTTGCCGAATGACCCTTCCTCATAGACGTATTTACGTCAAAAAAATTAGAAGGATGTAATTGTGACCTATTTAGATTTACTTTTACAGAATTCATCTTCAAAGACCGGTGAGAAACACGAAAAACTTCAGTCAATGCAACCACCCGCGGACTCGATATTTGAATCTGCGACCTCTCGATTGTCATGCAGGACTTCTTACCATTACACTGCAACACCTGTTCAAACGGAGTTAAACTGGCTTCCTTAACCGATAGGGGAATGTACATTTAAATGTCTGATGTCGCTAGTGTTGGTCCCACGTCAGAAGTTCACATTGGTCGACCTGCAGAGTGCTTTGTTTCTGAGGCAGAACTGAGGGGATAGAGAAGTCAAGGGCACGATCGTGGTACCTGACTCGATGTTTGGTACACTGAGCAGTCAGTAGAATGCGTTGGCCATGCTCTAGAATAAGATTGATTACGACTCAGAAATCCTGCAACGTGTAACATGGGGCACATTTTGCGAACAATTTAATACAGTAATTGAATGTCTCTTGCTTGAAACAATAACACATTTCCTATACACTCCCCTTGTCTCCTGTAAATAACCTATTATCAAGGGGTGAATAAATTCTTCCCCCTCTGGATCTAGGCTAATACCTTATTTCGGCCACAGATGGGAACACAGCACGGTCTGCGCGCAGAAGTGGCATAGGTGGAAGCTTCGTACTTTTGTGAAATCACAGGAACTTAGCACGTCCATACATAAGCTGTATTAAGAGGTTGTGGTATCAAAAATATGTCGTAGTTTACGGAATGACTTTATAAGCATAACAAGATTGAAAACGTATATTCTCTGGAGTACGCTAAAACTCCAGAAGATTTCTTACACCACATCACGGGTGACGACATCAGAAGAACAACCAATGGAATCGCAAATGTAATGATGGTATCCATGGTCACTCTTGCTACAACATGATACAAGGTCATCGAAGCAAAAATGTTATCCAAATCTGTTGTTACAAAAATGAGTTCCGACGGGCAGAAACGTGGAGGGGCCTATAAGTTCAATATTCTTACGCTAAGGCGTAATAGCACCTAATGCCTGGCGTCTAACTTCCTATACAACGGGTGACGCGTGAGGCAAAGTTTAAATATAAGGGAAAGATAATAAGGAATCCGTATTAAATTCGGACAATACTTGTTACCATTCGGGTCAGAATATTTTCCTTTTAAATTAATCTAGAACTTAAATAGTAATATATACAAAAATAGAATTGCAAAATTAATTCTTTTGTATGGGGATATAATTTTACTCTTTTCCCTACGGAAAGAATGTAAATTGAGGGTGTCTGAGGAAAATATTTGGAACACGTCAGTAACAGAAACTGGAGAAATTTATGACGACTTTCATAATTTGAATTCTGACAGTTGGTACTATGCGACGTAATCGAGGAACACTTCGGAGGTCTAAGCGAAGATGTAAGGTTAATATCAATTTCCTTTAATATTTACTTTCAAGAAGTGTCAGACACACGTGTCCGTGATCCTCATATAATTTTGTTCGTGGCACGACAAGTGGTCAACTGTTGAAAGTTTCCCGGGATTCGTGATTTTTACGCCATTCGCCTGTCAGACGCGCTCTACTGGACATGTCATGTATTCGCCCTGACGGCTGCCAGCCATCTTTCACTCACAAACAGCCAGCCTTACTCCACGCTGGACTCCACACTAGTCCATCTCAGGAGGGGTAATCCCATAACATGTTTTGTGAATAAACAATCGTATGTTCTTACATCTAAGAACTAAGCTTCCTCAAGAACACTGGTTGTGTGAGATTTGAGGTTCTCACGTCAGCGAGTATGATGGTGGCATGTTTCAGGGGTGCTTGATGCCTACGCAGAAAGAATCTCTAAAACATCGACAAACTTCTATCAGTCTGCAAGGGGCAACAACCAAGTAGACAGAATTTATTTTAACATTAGTTATACGAGGTGCGATCAGAAAGTTTCAAGACTGTGTCAATAGAGGGCGAACCGGATGTAGTACGAGCTTCTGCCGCTAGGGGGTGCGGCCTACATTCATAGCTAAAGGGAAGGAGATTTGAGGCGATAGAAGAGATTCAGGCAGAATCGCAGATGGTGCTTGACAGGCTGACAAAGAAAGATTTCCAGGGATGCTTCCAGGCTTGGCAGCGGCGCTGGGATCGTTGTGTTCACTCCCAGGGGAACTACTTCGAGGGTGATGGATGAATTTAATACCTGAGATAAGTGTACGGGTTTTTATAGGCGAAGTCTTGAAACTTTCCGATTGCACCTCGTATAATATGAAGCTAATGTACTGAAAAGGGTACAGAAGGTCGCAGTCATGTATTACTTTAAGATAGGCAACTATCAGAGTGTTTACCGGAGTGACAGAGAGCCTCGACTAACTGAATCAGTACAGCCGGCCAAAGTTTGAGGTGGGCGGGAAATGTAGCATGCATGGAAAAATCAGTAACGGATACAAACCTGATGGAACGATGTCATTTCGTAAACCGTAAATCTGCGCGAATGGAGGTTGATACATTAAAATAAATACGGTGTGGGAGTGTGAACTGAATTCAACTGACTTAGGATAGAGCCTAGTGGCGGGCTCTTGTGAGCGTAGTATGAACACTCGGGTTCTACAACGCGTTCACTGATAAAATTTAACGCAACTGCCATTTTTCGTCTCCTGGCTGCTATAAAAAGACAATGTAATCTTACTGCGTTTATAAATCCACGCCATAAAACCGAACGTCGTGGTCGAGTGGTTAGCACTCCTGCTCCTCGAATCTCGGCCCGGAGACCGGCTATCCTGACTGAGGTGCTTCGTAGGTGGTTTTACTAAGACCCTCCAGAAAAATTCCCGGATAGTAACCTAAATTAGGCCACGACCGCTTCCTTCCACATCCTTTCCATTTCATTATTCACTATCATCTTCTCATTCGACTCTATATATTCTGACTTGCTGAAAAAGCGTAGTTAAATAAACTATAAATAGATACGTAAATAAATATAAAGCAATGCCTTTCTCGTAACAAGAAAACCTTGTAGCACTTGGCAGTGAGTCAAAGGACGTGGAATATTTTGATTATTTAAATGAAAATAAGTTTGTAAAAAAATTAAGCTGTTTATTTCCTTACTATGTTGTTGGCGTAAGCTGACTTCAGGTGGTATAACGGTATATAGTTTAGTAATCTCTTACTGCAATCTGCCAATTAAAGTGGTTAGTGCGCCTATAATATGTCTGTGTGTCATGTGTGGGTTTATGGTATCTTAGCTGGCCGTAAGTCCACAAGAATATGAACCACCAACTTGCATTGTAGTTAATTATTTCTTGCAGATCTATTTAATTGTTAAACGAGTTCCAGCGTACGTAAGATGTTACAAACAAGAAACCTGAAAGCATTCTGGTTCCAGGAGGCTGTGGACCCCCCTGTGGAGGGGAGTACGCTCTAATGCGCTGGAAGATTGGGCGGGGGGGCAACATGGAATTTGGCGGGATTATGTCACTCGGTCAAGCGTACTTAAAAGCAGATATACGAGGGTTGTGAACGACGGAGGGTGAACCATCCATCAAGAAATATCCCCGACTCGAGTAACCCTCTTCTCCCACTCCGGCAACATCTCTGATGTTCCAGGTTCCAACCTTGCTGAGATTCTATCATTCTCAGTCTGTTGAATGGCATGTGAATGTTTTAAATACTGAGTTTTTTTTTAAACAAATACTGACAAACCTTCAAAATAGGCCACAACTACTTCCTCAAACATCGTCCAAACCAACCAACCATACCACAAAAGAAGAAATTTTTATTTTCTGTCTGTAACCTGAGAAAGTACGCTGTTTTTGTAATAAATTGGGTATTCTGACCATAGAAATGACAAATTAGTAACAAATCTAAAACTTCTTGACGATGGTGAAGAGTCAATTGAATAAAAATTTCCTTGGATATTATCCATCGTCTAGTAAATATAAAACGTAAAAAAACGACGTTTCGGAGATGGGACTCTATCTCCGTCTTCAGGTTCCTACACAGTTGGGCCCACTAGATAGAGCTAATCCCTATCTCCGGAGATGGATAATATCCAAGGAAATTTTTATTCAATTGACAAATTAATAAAGATCACATCTCATTTATTATCCGTAATGTTTTATATGCCTCTTTTGTATTCCCTGTATGTTTTTTGTCATTTACATAATGTTTATATTTCAAGTTGATTTGCTAAATGCACAAAATATGTTAATCTGACTTTAAACTTATTACAATGAATTTATTTTTCCCTGTAAACAACAAGTATCACCTTGCATTCCATCACTGTTTTTTTTCTAAGCATTATTACAAATTGTTAAGTCCAGATCTGCAATAACATGTCAGAAATAATTTTAAAAAGTGAGTTTAATTTTACCACTTCCTTGTTGACTGCGCTTACTTCGCTGTTGATAAATCGAATGCCTGTAGATCAGACCTAAAACCCGGAGATAGGGATTAGCTCTATCTAGTGGGCCCAACTGTGTAGGAACCTGAAGACGGAGATAGAGTCCCATCTCCGAAACGTCGTTTTACGTTTTATATTTACTAGACGATGGATAATATCCAAGAAAATGTTTATTCAATCGAATTCCTGTAGCTAAACTTGCGTATTTCACAACGCACCGTGTTCTGGTCGCTCCAGATTTAATACGGTTTGAATTCGAATTCCTCTGCTAACACATCGTACAATCCCGTATTACACTGATATTCACATACCGCGTATTTTCTGTTTCGCAGGGCACCCTCGATTCTTCAACCAGCTGTCCTGTGGTCTGGATTTGGTCTCCATGGCGGGCGAGTGGCTTACGGCGACTGCAAACACTAACATGTTCACTTACGAGATCGCACCAGTCTTCATTCTCATGGAGCACGTTGTCATGGAGAAGATGCGAGAAATCATCGGCTTTCAGGGCGGCGACTCCATACTGGCACCAGGTAACTGACATACCCTCAAGTCTGGTCTTTGTGTTCACTGCGTCAGTATTCAGGTTCCAATGTAGGTATCACCAAACTGCATGCTTCAAGATCACAGCACAAACGTACAACACTGCAACATGAACAGCTGAGTCCAGGCGAGTAAAGACATTTCAGAAATCGCAGCTAGCAACACTATCGTCGAGTCTTCACACAGGTCTACGAAGCTGTGTTGTTGAAAGAGATTCCGCTTGAAATTGGTCACATTAAATGCCTCCATCATCAGGGCGATGAGTATGAAGATTTCTGTCTTCTGGGTTGTTGCGCTGTGTAGTCTGGTCGATGTTTACCAACGTTTCAGAGGTCATACTGCCTCCGTCATCAGGACGATGAGTATGAAGATTTCTGTCTTCTGGGTTGTTGCGCTGTGTAGTCTGGTCGATGTT